TAGGATTCTCTATGTATAGTATCATGTCATCTGCAAACAGTTACAGTTTTACTTCTTCTTTTCTGATTTGGATTCCTTTTATTTCTTTTTCTTCTCTGATTGCCATGGCCAAAACTATGTTGAATAATAGTGGTGAGAGTGGGCACTCTTGTCTTGTTCCTGATCATACAGGAAATGTTTTCAGTTTTTCACCATTGAGAATGATGTTGGCTATGGGTTTCTCATATATGGCCTTTAATATCTTGAGATAGGTTCCCTCTATGCCCTCTTAATGGCAAGTTTTTATCATAAATAGATGTTGAGTTTTGTTGAAAGCTTTTTCTGCATCTATTGAGATTATCATATGGTTTTTATCCTTCAGTTTGTTAACATGGTGTATCACATTGATTGATTTACATATATTGAAGAATCCTTGCATTACTGAGATAAACCCCACTTGATCATGATGTATGATCCTTTTAATGTGCTGTTGGATTCTGTTTGCTAGTATTTTGTTGAGGATTTTTGCATCTATGTTCATCAGTGATATTGGCCTGTAGTTTTCTTTCTTTGTGACATCTTTGTCTGGTTTTGGTATCGTTGTGATGGTGGCCTCATAGAATGAGTTTGGGAGTGTTCCTCCCTCTGCTATATTTTGGAAGAGTTTGAGAAGTTTAGGTGTTAGCTATTCTCTAAATATTTGATAGAATTCACCTGTGAAGCCATCTGGTCTTGGGGTTTTGTTTGTTGGAAGATTTTTAATCACAGTTTCAATTTCAGTGCTTGTGATTGGTCTGTTTATATTTTCTATTTCTTCCTGGTTCAGTCTCGGTAGGTTGTGCTTTTCTAAGAACTTGTCCATTTCTTCCAGGTTGTCCATTTTATTGGCATATAGTTGCTTGTAGTAATCGCTCATGATCCTTTGTATTTCTGCAGTGTTAGTTGTTACTTCTTTTTCATTTCTAATTCTGTTGATTTGAGTCTTCTCCCTTTTTTTCTTGATGAGTCTGGCTAATGATTTCTCAACTTTGTTTATCTTCTCAAAGAACCAGCTTTTAGTTTTATTGATCTTTGCTATTGTTTCCTTCATTTCTTGTTCATTTATTTCTGACCTGCTCTTTATGATTTCTTTCCTTCTGCTAACCTTGGGTATTTTTTGTTCTTCTTTCTCTAGTTGCTTTAGGTGTAAGGTTAGATTGTTCATTTGAGATTTTTCTTGTTTCTTGAGGTAGGATTGTATTGCTCTAAACTTCCCTCTTAGAACTGCTTTTGCTGCATCCCATAGGTTTTGGGTCGTCGTGTTTTCATTGTCATTTGTTTCTAGGTATTTTTTGATTTCCTCCTTGATTTCTTCAGTGATCTCTTGGTTATTTAGTAGCATATTGTTTAGCCTCCATGTGTTTGTATTTTTTACATTTTTTTCCTGTAATTGATACCTAGTCTCATAGCGTTGTGGTCAGAAAAGATACTTGGTACGATTTCAATTTTCTTAAATTTACCACAGCTTGATTTGTGACCCAAGATATGATCTATCCTGGAGAATGTTCCATGAGCACTTGAGAAGAAACTGTATTCTGTTGTTTTTGGATGAAATATCCTATAAATACCAATTAAGTCCATCTGGTCTAATGTGTCATTTAAAGCTGTGTTTCCTTATTTGTTTTCATTTTGGATGATTTGTCCACTGGTGAAAGTGGGGTGTTAAAGTCCCCGACTATTATTGTGTTACTGTTGATTTCCCCTTTTATGGCTGTTAGCATTTGCCTTATGTATTGAGGTGCTCCTATGTTCAGTGCATAAATATTTACAATTGTTATATCTTCTTCTTGGATTGATCCTTTTATCATTATGTAGTGGCCTTCTTTGTCTCTTGTAATAGTCTTTATTTTGAAGTCTATTTTGTCTGATATGAGTATTGCTACTTCATCTTTCTTTTGATTTCCATGTGCATGGAATATCTTTTTCCATTCCCTCACTTTCAGTCTGGATGTGCCCCTAGGTCTGAAGTGGGTCTCTTGTAGACAGCATATATACAGGTCTTGTTTTTGTATCCATTCAACCAGTCTGTGTCTTTTGGTTGGAGCATTTAACCATTTACATTTAAGGTATGTATCGGTATGTATGTTCCTCTTACCATTTTCTTAATTGTCTTGGGTTTGTTTTTCTAGGTCTTTTCTTTCTCTTGTGTTTCCTGCCTAGAGAAGTTCCTTTAGCATTTGTTGTAAAGCTGGTTTGGTGGTGCTGAATTCTCTTAACTTTTGTTTGTCTTTAAAGCTTTTAATTTCTCTGTTAAATCTGAATGAGATCCTTGCTGGGTAGAGTAATCTTTGTTGTAGGTTTTTCCCTTTCATCACTTTAAATATATCCTGCCAGTCCCTTCTGGCTTGCAGAGTTTCTGCTGAAAGATCAGCTGTTAACTTTATGAGGATTCCCTTGTATGTTATTTGTTGCTTTTCCCTTGCTGCTTTTAGTATTTTTTTCTTTGTATTTAATTTTTGATAGTTTGATTAATATGTGTCTTGTTGTGTTTCTCCTTGGATTTATCCTGTATGGGACTCTCTGCACTTCCTGGACTTGATTGACTATTTCCTTTCCCATGTTAGGGAAATTTTTGACTATAATCTTTTCAAATATTTTCTCAGACCCTTTCTTTTTCTCTTCTTCTGGGACCCCTACAATTTGAATGTTGGTGCATTTCATGTTGTCCCAGAGGTCTCTGGGACTGTCCTCAATTCTTTTCATTCTTTTTTCTTTATTCTGTTCTGCAGCAGTTATTCCCACTGTTTTATTTTCCAGGTCACTCATCTGTTCTTCTGCTTCAATTATTCTGCTATTGATTCCTTCTAGAGAAGTTTTCATTTCATTTATTGTGTTCTTCACCATTGTTTGCTCTTTAGTCCTTCTAGGTCCTTGTTAAATGTTTCTTGTATTTTCTCCATTCTATTTCTGAGATTTTGGATCATCTTTATTTGCATTACTCTGAATTCTTTTCCAGGGAGACTGCCTATTTCCTCTTCATGTGTTTGGTCTGGTGGGTTTTTACCTTGCTTCTTCATCTGCTGCATGTTTCTCTGTCTTGTCATTTTGTTTAATTTACTGTGTTTGGGGTCTCCTTTTCCCAGGCTGCAGGTTTAGAGTTCCCATTATTTTAAGTGTCTGCCCCTGTCACAGACACCCAGTGGGTGAGGTTGGTTCAGTAGCTTTTGTAGGCTTCCTGGTGGAGGGGACTGGTGCCTGTGTTCTGGGGGCTGGGGCTGGATCTTGTCCTTCTGGTGTGCAGCCAGTGGTGTGTTTTGCGGTGTCTGTGAACTTAGTATGACTTTATCCTGCCTTTATTCTTATCACTGTGTTGCTCTCACATGACTCTGTAAGCCTGGAGCTTCACGTGCCCGGAATATCGTTCAGCTGCTCCCTATGACCTGTGTTGAAACAGGGCTGTAAAAAGCCTCATATCCTCTTGGAATCCTAGGCAGATTCGTGACCCAGGGCAGATATATTTTTTTGGTTCATTCCTAGTTATAAATGCTAATTCCCTTTTCTCTCTTCCACCGCAGGGAAACACTCATTTTGCCTTCATCCCAAAGCAAATGTAGTCTTCTTTTGTATTTTATGTTATCCTCTAGTTATGTGTAGAAGCAGCCCTGGAGCATTCATATGCTCAGAAGAGTCAGCCTTCTCTTTGTTAGAATATCAGACTCTTGAGGATGGGTGATATCTAAGCTTAACCAAGTTGCTTTCTAGATAAAGCTCTTTCTGACCAGAGTGGCCTCAGAGTGTCCTAGGGTTCTTATTAAGTGATTTTATTTGTTCTGTCAAAGGAACAATGGGGTTCTCAATTATATGTTATATTTTGAATCTTTGTTTTAATAAAGAGGTACCAGAAAATCTTGGTGATTTCAGAGTTTAAATTTATTTCCCTGTCTGTATCAATAAATTATTGTTTCAAATAAATGGTGTTAGAGAGATGTTTTTTTCTTTTTCAGAATTCAAAAAACGTTAATCACAACAACAGCTTTAGGTTATATCATAAAGGTTACATTTTTGGGAGTTAGTTTTACAAAACGAAAAAAAAACACCAAAAACCCAAAACCCACAGTTGAGAAACTGTTGAGTGCTAATAATCTTTACAGGAAATTCCTGTAAAGGAAGTTGGATTACTCACTCTTTCAACTAAACGTAACCACAAACCTTATCTAGTCAAGGAGGTTGGTCTGGGGAGAATTTTAGATGCTTCATCTTCAGGTCATTTCCTTCTACTTATAGAGGTCATTAATTTGATTTTCCTCTGTATGACCATGAATTTGACAATGTCAGTGGTCATTTACAAAATACTAAAGGTTTTCCTTTTTTTTTTCTCCATATTTAGCTCATTATTTACAAACTTGTGTGAGTTACATGTACTTTCTCCCTTTATCTCTCTCACTAGGAAGAGATATTGTAGACCTCTGAAAATGGATATTCTCACATGCTCATCTTCAGAGAGAAAAGCCGGCAGTCACTGAAAGAAAGACTTGAAGTTCCTTTCTCTTTTTCAATGTCTTAAGAACAGGAAATACAGGTAAGACAATGGTATATATTTTTTTCCACTAGATTTCCTAACCAGCAAATATAAGTTGAGAAAAGAACTTAAATTATTTTCAAAATGGATCGCTAACACAATTCTTTTTCATAAACTATTTTGTACTAATAAATTTGCTACCTAATTAGCAAATTTTCCATCTCCACATATATGGAGACTTTATAAAAAAAAACAAAAACTGGTGGTTATGAAATAAACCTATCTACAATGCTTTGAGCATTTTGTGGGAAAGGTGGAGAGCAGAGGGGTTCAAAATGTTTGCCGACTCAGCCATAAAAAGAAACAAAATTGGGTCATTTGTAGAGACATGGATGGACATAGAGGCTGTAATACAGAGTGAAGTAAGTCAAAAAGACAAAAACAAATATATATTAATGCATATATGTGGAATATGAAAAAAAATTGGTATAGACGACCTTATTTACAAAGCAGAAATAGAGACACAGACATAGAAAACAAACATACGGATACCGAGGGAAAAAGGTGGGGTGGTGGGGTGAATTGGGGGATTGGGATTGACATATATACTCTATTGATACTATGTATAAAATAGATAACTAATGACAACTTGCTGTATAGCACGGGGAACTCTACTCAGTGCTCTGTGGAGACCTAAATGGGAAGGAAATCCAAAAAAGAGGGGATATATGTATACATATAGCTGATTCATTTTGCTGTACAGTAGACACTAACACAATATTGTAAAGAAACTATACTCCAATAAAAATTAAAAAAACAAAAAAGCAAACAAAAAAAGGGCATAGATAGTCCCTATAATATCTAGCATAGAGTTTGCCACATAACAAGAATTCAGCAAATAGTTGTTGTACAAATGTGTATGACCAAGATTGGCAGTTTAGTTTAGATTGGGTTTTGTTAAGCTATTCGTATCTGTATTCCAGCATCATCATTTTTTAAATGTATGACTTTGGACAATTTACTTCACCAAAAAAAAAAAAAGAGTTTTTGCCGAATTTAAATGCTTGCCTTGACTTGACTGTAAAATCTTTGAGAGCAGGAGCTACACTCTTGATTTTCTGTAATTCCTAGACAATGGGATATATAGCTACCATGGATCATGTGAAAACAATAATAATATTATTTGAATTAAATACTTACTGTTACACCAGACCAGATGTCTACATGTACATGTGTTCCCTGGGTATAGTCATTGCTGATCCCATGGGAAATTGTCTTTAACTGTGGGATTCTCCTACCTGAGCCTCAGATTCCCTGTTGACACTTGCCTTCTCCACCTGCCTTTCCTCTTTTTCTCCTCCCACCAAAAGCTTTGTTCAGAAAAAATTTTAGTTCATCATCAACCAAAGACAGTTGAAGGTGTAGTCTTGACCAACTGATTGGGGGAATCTTCAACCTCTAACAAAAAAAAATATGGCTCTCAAAAAGCAGGTATGGATGCTGTTTTGGATAAGAGACCCTTCAGATACTTGAAGTCTTTTGAGCACTTATCTCTTTTTGCGAGGTGACGGCATATGCTGATAGGAAAATCAGAGTCTCTGAGACCCTCTTCACATGGACATGAATTCCTCTTCTGATACTTATAAGATGTGCAATTATCATTAATAGTGGGGACCACTCTCCAAGCAATGTGAGCCTTGGTGGTCCATCAATGAAACAAGAAGGACAACAACCGTCTTCCCGAGTGTGACAGAAAGTATGTAAGAGAGCAGGATACCATTATGTTCAGTGCCACCTGCCCATTGATTTACTGCCAAGAACAGACCTGCAGTCTGGTTTGGTTAAGTTGCCCAATGCTTGAAAAATGCTCGATAAATGCACCTTGTGTGATTCGTTATGATTCTTGGAAGTGTGTTGGTGATGGTGGAATGAAAGGCATCACACAGACGTCAAAAGATCTTAAAAAGGTAGATGTTGACAAACAATATCAGTTGTGGTATCCCACATTGATGGGGTTTCCAGAGTGGGCTTGCTCTTGTGTTGCTCAGTTGCCAACAGTGTTGGTAATAACTGCTGTAACTTAGCACAGACCCAGCTCCTCAAGGTCTATTCTTGTCCCTGAGCAGGGCTTCCCAGGGATGATCCCTGAATCACAGTGATTTCCCTGACACTTGTTTATAATATAGAGTCCAGTGTTCTTCTCCTTGAGAATCTGATTTAATATGATTTGGAGAGCCCAGATATCTGAATTTATAAAAAGCATTCCGGGTGATTCTTGTAATGGCGATAATTTGAGAAACACAAACCCAGAGACAAAGCTGTAGCCTAGAAACAGCCCTAGGCAGCCTGAGGTCCTACGCCAGTAGGTGAGGGTATCATGGACAGAACATCTGACCACTCAAGGTTGGGACAGGAATTCCTGAGGGCTGGAGACTTCTGGGTGTCATGGTAAAAAATTTTCTATAGGCTTGGTAATTCAAACATGGAATCACAGAATGTTAGAGCTGAGATGATCTTAGAAATAATAAAGTCCCATGATTCTCAAGTCAAGGAGATTTAAAATAAAATGCAGATTTTCCAGTTTAATCCCCAGAAGTTAGGACCCCCTAGCCCTAAGGTGGAGGAACAACTGATACAGTCCAAATAATTTATTTTGCAAATGAAAAAACTGAAGTGCAGAGAGAGGCTAACTAGAGACACACAGCAAGTTAATGGTTAAACTTAGGTTGATATGCATTTATTTTGATTTCTCCTGAATTCTTTTGCATTTATTTGAACAACAGATTTGATTACAATTTATGCATGAAGCTTTTCCTAGGATTTGGAGATAAGATTTCTGAAACAGGATCCCTGCTCTTAAGGAGCTCCTAACCTAGTGAGAGGACATGGTATATGAAATAGCAATTTCACTATGGTGTGGATAAATTCTGAACAAGGACTTACCAAACTCCTGTGTGAGTCACACCCTATTCCTTGAGAGAGTGTGCAGGCTGCAAGACAGGCTCAGTTCTGCTGGCATGGAGCTTTGGTTCTAGTTGGGGGAGAAGTTTATAAAACAAGATATTTTCCAGACAGTAGTGTGTGCTAAGACAAAGTAATATAACATGAGTAGTAAGAGAGATAGTTGCTGGCTGGTGCAGTGGTGAATAGAGAGGAGGAATGTCATTATGCACATGGTCAGTGGTGGTCTCTCTGGGGATGAAACACAAGATAAATCATGAGGGAGCCATATCGAGTCATACAGGGTTTTGCATTTGATGCTTTGGAATGGACTTTTTATTTAGTGGGCAGTGGGGCTGGTGAGGTTATCAGCACAGAAATTACATCCTCAGGCTTGATTTTTAGGAAGATGCTTCCAGTGGCCGGAGGTGGGGAGATTGTCCCTTCAGGGGCTTTGTGGGCAAAGAAAGGGTGAGCAGGGGGTGGGGGGAGGCAGACCACATCTGAAAGGCAGTTGCTTATCCTAGGCCCTTGTTCCTAGACAACAGTCTTGGAAAGAAGAGCCACCCATTGTCACCAATGGGGATAAGTGATGCAGTGACTCTGGTCCCCGTCCGTGGCACTCTAGGTCCTCCATCATCTCATGAAGCCCTTTCTTGGCTGAGCACACCCTCCTCTCAGTGGGTCAGCATCCAAGTGGAAACATCCTGTACTTCTGGCCCCACCTGGGTACACCGGTCTGGAGAGACCTCGCAGAGTGTACGACTCTGTCCGCCTCCGTCCAAGACAATGTCTCTGTGGTTTTCGGGGTTTGTCTTTTCCCGCCTCCTCAGAGAAGGTGGTCCACACACCCTCTTCTCACTGTCACTTGCATTTGGCCTGCTACCCTGCCAGCGCATTCCCCTTGATTCGCTTATGGAATCAAGGCAGCACAGGAGGAAACGCCTCCCCGTCTTGTCTTCCATGTGCAGTGTAGCCTGGGGAGGGTGTGGCTCTTCCCCACTCCCCACCTTCCTTCCCGAATCGCTCGTCTCCATCACCTTAAACCCTCTGCACGTGCTGGTCTGATCTATCAGTGGCCAGACCTGATGGAAACTAAGTCCTTCTTGTGCCCGACTTCTCTGCTTAGTGTCAGGGTGGTCTCTGTGTTCTGTTTCTTCTCTTCCCTTTGGGTTTATCCTTTTGAATTTTCCCTTGGCCCTGACTCACCCTTCCAGGCTGGTGTTCCTCCGGGAAGTCTATCTGCTGTCTCCTCGCAGCCTCCTGACTTCTCTCGCTGGAACTCTCCCCTGTGGATCCCCAAAGGCACCTCAAGCTCAATGTTTCTGTTAGAGAAACATACTTGTTGATCATTTATAAATATTAAAATTACTCCTTTCTGCGTCTGAAGATGTTGGAGACATGGAGTGCTGTGTGTGTGTGTGTGTGTGTGTGTGTGTGTAAATGTTTGGAAATGAAGAATTTTATAAGTTGAGGACAGTAAAGTATTTATTTATGGTAAAAGATGGAGGTTCCTGAAGAGAATGGTCCTGGGAAAGTCTGGGTGGAAGGAGTGGTTGCAGGAATGGCCAGTGAGCACAGGGGGCAGTGAAGAGAGGAATGTGCATGATGGTTAGATTGTGTGTGTGGGCGTTGAGAGAGAGAGAGACAGGCAGACAGAGACAGAAGCAGAGGTTGAGAGAGAGAGAAGGAGAGATAGAGAGAGAGAGATTGATTTTTGTCAGCTGCCCAAGAGATGTTCTGGGAAGAAGACTTTTAAGGAGAACGTTTAGAGGGACCATATGATAGTAAAATTTCTTTTTCTTTCTTTCTGTCTTTCTTTCTTTCTTTCTTTCGCTTTTTCTTTCTTTCTTTCTTTTTTCTTTCTTTCTTTCTTTCTTTCTTTCTTTCTTTCTTTCTTTTTTCTTTCTTTCTCTTTCTTCCCCTTCCTTTCCTTCTCCCTCCCTCCCTCCCTCTCTTTCTCTTTTTTCCTTGAACCACCATGAACACAGTCCAGGGTGACCTTCCCTCCCTTTTATACTTCAGAGAATTGGTAGAAACGCCATCCAGTGACAACTTTTCCTGTCTTATTTGGGGCACAAAGAGTAAAGCATCCTCTATTCTCTAACAGTTACTACAAATTAGCAATGTGCAGACATTCTCAAGTTTACACACCAGCTACCGCACTAGTTTCCCTAATTGGGGAGAACCTGACATTTTCATTCAATTTGGATGATCTTTTCAGGAAAACTTTCACTTAACTCTTTCCAAATTACCCATGAAAATATACGTACTAGGTCAGAAACTTAGGAAAAGAAAAAGGATTCCATAAAGAAATGGCATCAAAAGACCACACCGTACAGAGTGTAGGTACAAGCAGTACCATGAGTCTGAGATGTCCTTCCTCCTTTAGTTGTGTAAGAAGTGACATATGCAGGACCTGCCACACGCTGTTGAAAATACCACTCTAGTGTGGGCATGTGAAGGCTTGTTGGGTAGGACCTGCCCTTTCAAAGCTTCCTGTGTGACTTGCGTTTTGATCACTGGTTCCGATTTCTTCATTTCCCATTTCTTGATTTACAGAAATGAAGATGATTCTCAGGGTGGAGCCCTGAATTACAATGTCCTCCACTCTGGCAACAGAACAAATGTCCTGAAGCAATGACAAGACCCAGCGAGAACAATGCTTTCCTTGAGCTGGGTATTTCTTTGGCTTATCGCAGGAGGGAAAATTAAAGGATTTAACACTTCAGGTAGGGGTTTTTCACTTTTCATGCTAACCTTATGAGTTTTATGGTCCAAGTTTAAAGTGACAGGTATTCTGGGATACATCGGCAGCAAGGCATAATAATATAGAACATTTCCTTTCTACTTTTAAGATGGGGGTAGGAGGAGAAATTACTGGGGTGAACAGCTTTCAGTTGATACCAAGCATCCATGTGGAACCCAGTTACTATATCTGGGTGTTCAGTGGAAGCAGCTGAAGAGGAATTAAAGGTGGGTTGGCATGTTTAACAGGAAACCTCCGTTGCTACTGGTGACGCTGAAGACCAGTGGGAGGGAATTAGAACATGAACTTCTTTTCCCCACAGAATGGGAACCATGAAGGAGAAAGACACCCAAGGGAGCTTAATCCCTTGTGAAACCAAGTACTCTTTGTAAATATGTTAGAATTCCTCTAATGTGTTTCTGTGCTCCTTTTTTTATTGTGGTTTTCAGATTGCTCCACTGGAAAGCTTCTTAGGACATACTCTGCAAGGTGTGGGGAGGAGTTTGTCTTATTTTGTGATTTTCCAGAGCCACAGAAATCCCATTTCTACCACAGAAGTCAACTCTCACCAACGCAAAGCTCTGAACACCTGCCCTGCAGTGGTAGTAAGAACCTATCTGATGTCCAATGGTACCTACAACCTCCAAACAGAGATCCACTAGTAGAAATTACACAAAACTATCCTCACGTGATCCAGGACAAGAGCACCCTTCATTTCTTGACCACAGAGATGAATAATGCTGGGTCATATATTTGTAGACCTAGGATTAGGTAAGTCCCAAGTACATTTCTATCTGAAAACATTACCAAATCCTTTACTATCTGGATATAACATCTGTGTTCACAGGACCTTGTTAACTTTCCTAGGAGCCCCAAGGATGAGGCCTGTTGTGTCAAGATGATCTTAGAAGTTAAACCCAAGACAAATATGTCCTGTGGGAGCTCCATATCACATGAACAACTCCTTCTTCTTGGTAGCATGGGCTCCATTTATTGCCCCGGTCTCAGCCACCAAAATGATACACAAAGTCCAGAGGTGACCTGGTACCAGGTAAGAATGACTTCACTGAAACTGATACCAGAGTTTAGTTGTTATGGTAGCATCTCCTTATGTAATTTATAGAAATGTGAGTCTGAATCTGAGCTCTAGAGCTTCCCAAAGACTGGCCTCACGCCTACAGAGAAGACCTGACTTTCTAAAGCAGTTTTCCCCTAGGTAGCCACAGAGTCCAATGTTCCAATTATTAGAACCATCCTTTTGATCAGTGTCAGAAAATTTTCTAAAATTCAAGTCCATTACATGTGAGGTTAAGATATAAACTTATGAACACCCACTCATTCAGAAGACCAGATTTGTTCAATTTTACTGCCTTTGGAAAGCAAAGGGCATTGCTAGGGTGAAAGGAACACCCAACAAGCATGTCTTGAAGGGTTTCTGAAAGAAGGAGGAGACTGGAATACTTTCCAAAGAGGACACCTCTGGGAAGACAGTTAAGGCAAGCACCTGGTGGCCTGGGTGACACGTGTATTGCACAGGTGAGTCAGTGGGGAGGGAGGGCAGTGCTAAGAGAAAAAGGGAACAGGAATCAGGAAAAGACAAGTTTCAGAATGATTCTGAGTTATGAACCACATGTGAGTAAACTTCATAACAAAAACATTTCCATTGTATTTTATAGTTTTTCTAAGTCCTAACAGATATATAAATGCTGCGTAAGCATCTTTTCCAAAGTCTGGGAATGTCAGTTGACCCAGGGTGGTGGAATCTGGGAATAGAATTTAAATCACCTCCTACATTTGTAATAATTGGCTTTTTAAATATTTATTTATTTGGTAGTGTCGGGTCTTTGTTGCGGCAGGTGGGCTCCTTGGACAGGCTCACGGGCTCCTCAGTTGTGGCTCACCCCCTCCCTAGTTGTGGCATGTGAACTCTTAGTTGCGACATGCATGTGGGATCTAGTTCCTGGACCAGGGATCGAACCCAGGCCCACTGTATTGGGAGCATGGAGTCTTAACCACTGCGCCACCAGGGAAGTCCCTATGATAATTGTTTGAAGTTCAATACTTTGCTTTAAGAAATCATGCAAAACTTTAAATTTGACTTCCAAAGATATCTGTTTGTTAATATAAAAATATCATTTTAAATTGTCCCTGATCAAAGTCCAGAAAGTGGCCCATGTTTATCTGTCGGCTTTTTGTACCCCCAAACTTAGCAATCAGAGTCTCCTGGAGGTAAAATTACCAATGGGTGAGACAATATTTCCTCACTTGATTCTCTTGAGATTCAGTGACAACTGGTGTTATTATGTCCCTCGTAGAAAGAACTGTACAGGGAGGGTGAGTGTGTGCTTAAGGTCTCAATTTTATATTTTAAAATGACACAGAAAATGTGCTTCCCTCAATAAAATCCTAATTTAAGAAGCACCTTACTAATTATTAGAGAAGTGCAATCAAAACTACAATGAGGTACCACCTCACACTGGTCAGAATGGCCATCATCAAAACGTCTACAAATAACAAATGCTGGAGAGAGTGTGGAGAAAAGGGAACCCTCCACCCTGTGGATGGGAATGTAAATTGGTGCAGCCACTATGGAGAACAGTATGGAGGTTCCTTAAAAAACTAAAAATAGAGTTGCCATTTGATCCAGCAATCCCACTCTTGGGAAAGTCGGAAAAACCTCTAATTTGAAAAGACACATGCACCCCAATGTTCATTGCAGCACTATTTACAATAGCCAAGATATGGGAGCAACCTAAGTGTCCATGAACAGATGAGTGGATAAAGAAGGTGTGGTATATATATACACAATGGAATATTGCTGAGCCATAAAAAGAATGAAATATTGCCATTTGCAGCAACATGGATGGACCTAGAGATTATCATACTAAGTGAAGTAAGTCAGACAGAGACAAATATGATATCACTTACATGTGGAAGCTAAAATATGACAAAAATGAACTTATTTACAAAACAGAAACAGACTCACAGACATAGAAAACAAACTTATGACTACCAAAGGGGAAAAGAGGGGAGGGATAAATTAGGAGTTTGGGATTAGTAGATACAAACTACTACATATAAAATAGATAACTGGCAAGATCCTACTGTATAGCATAGGGAACTATATTCAATATCCTGTAATAAACTATGATGGAAAAGAATATGAAAAAGGACATATATATATGTAAAGTGAATCATTGTGCCGTAAAGTAGAAACTAACACAACATAGTAAGTCAACATACTTCAATTAAAAAAAAAGAAACACGTTAATTTCATAACCTCTAAAATGAGGTTGGTAAGAATAGCCGATGGTTCTGTTCATTATTTTCAGTTCACTCTTAAGACCAAAACTTCCCATGGTTCGAAAGTATTTGTAATCTGGGATGACAGATGCCTTACTACGTCAAGGTAGGCTGTTCCCAAACCAGGCTTGCCCCGTTATTTAAAATGAAAATGCATTTGAATTTTCAATGATTGTATCCCTGAAATGAAAGCTATTTTCACTTTCTGGTAAAGCACAAGCCACACGGTAGTTGCCAGCTTTCTGCATGTACTGCTCTTATGAACTAAACCCCAATGTTCTATGACATTCACAAAAGGAAGCTTTATTTCTCTTCCCTGGGGCCTCGACTGCAAATGTCAGGATGTGTTTAATGGTGACTAGGCATCTGTCTTAAAAGTAGGCAAATAGCTGTTGTTAAAATTGTATCTTCTGACGGAGATTTGGACAGGTCATTATTTAGGTTATGTTTCATGGATTGCATGAAATTCATGAATTGCACGTGTGTGTACATGTGCTTACACACACACATGCACACACACACAGACAGTATCCTGGAAAGTCACAGACCTCTTGGAAGCATCACTAAAAGTGATGACATTAGGCAGGAAATAATACCCAATGTTCCTTTTCTTCATGCTAAACCACAGATACTCAGGTGAAGGGTGGCTCACGCTTAAGATTATCTCAAAACCGACAACACTAACACTGGCTGAGAGGATGAAAACACGGTGGTACTGAATTCACATGAAACTGCTGACCAGGGATGAACCTGCCAGTTGTATAGAACAACCAAGCGAAATAAATCCATGTGCTGTAGTCTCTGGGGGGGGTTCCAAAATATTTTTAATAGACACCTCAAAAAATTTAGACTTGGAGATTCTTAACTGAAATATTGAACGATGAAGAAGTCAGAATAAAGGGAATTATCTGTTTTTCATTCTAATAATATTTTCCTAATTCATAAAAATATAATGGGAATTCCCTGGCGGTCCGGTGGTTAGGACTCTGCGCTTCCACTGCAGGGGGCACGGGTTCGATCCCTGGTCAGGGAACTAAGATCCCACAGCGCAGCCAAAAATAAGTAAATTAATTAATTAAAATAAAAATATAATGAAAAATAGCTTTGGCATAAGCAGACTTCATCTTAGATGATATTACATTAATGGGAGGGCGTTTTTGGTTCTTTAGCTAAACGAATCTTTGACACCAGGCAGAATTATAACACAGGGCAGTGGAAGAGGCTCTTCTGCGAGGGTCTGGGGCATTGAGACATGGGTGCCTGTGACATGGCTGTGACGTCCTGGCAGTAAGACTGTACCTGAGTGACTTTTCCTTTGGTGGTCTAAGTCACCCTCATTCACATGCCACAGTGCTGACATGGCTGCTGGGTCATCTCTGAACCCTGAGTTCCATGGAATTTTCGCACATAGACCTGCCACTTCTTCTCATTTCCTTTGGCCTCGTTCTCCTTGTCCCTGGCACCTGGTGGCATCCTGCGAGCCCAGGGACATGGAGAGCTGGTAAGTATGGTGAGACTTGCCAGACCAAAGGTTGATGCAATTCCTGGTAGGGAAGAGGTAAAAGTCATTTAGATTCAATTTTTGGAAGCTGTTTCCAAGGTCCATACATTGGCCCATTCGATTGTTCTCACTGTGAAATTTCAGAATCCTGGGCAACTTCCTACGGTGTGTACAATGCTACAATCCACAGGTTGTCACATGTGTCAGTCCTCTCTGGGACTTACTGATGCTCTTTATACAGGGTCACACTGATTGCTGCTCCTGCTTCTGTATTTTGCTCTTGACTGTTTCACATCTGAGCAAAACAAAGAATTTCCTGTGTGGCCTCATTGGCACTTCTCTCTCCTACTAGGATCATTTGTGATTATGTTATTAGATCAGCTTCCCATCATTCTTGACACAAATTTCTTGCCCCTTATCTCTTTGATGTTTTGTTTGAGTTCCATCCCATAAAGTCTTGATGATACACACTAAGCCATACTTATCTTTTTATTAAAAAAAGTCAGGCCCACTTTGTAATCACTCATCCTCCCTATGGCCCAGCTGCAGCCTGGTTCCAACTCTGCATCCCCTCCTCTGCATTAATTTCTCATGTGATTTACGACACACCTCCACTCCAATCTCTGTTCTTTGTATGTTATTACCATGTTCTCTAGAAATTTCACCTCTGAATTTTACCCCGTGCCCTGAAGCTTCCTTTTAAAATGTTCTTGATAGATGTTTAACCTTGTCAGTCCCACCTCTTGGCCTTGTTTTACCTCCTACCTGCAGCTGCCCAGCTCTGACCAGTTCTGACCCTCTTCTCAGCTCCTTGACAACCTACTGGAAATTCTTTCTTGGGCCACAGGAACCACACCAGAGACTTGGGGGAGGGGAATTTCTGCTTCTACGAGTCATCAAGCAAAGGGGAAGGGAAATTCCTCAATCAGAACATGAAACTCAGAATCAGAAGAATGTAGATACATTCTCAGGCCTCTCATGAGCTATATGGTATAGAACAAAACACAAACTTCAGAACCTCGGTTTTCTCATCTATAAAATGGAAGACATAGAATCTGTGCAAACCAAGCCAGAGAATCCTTTTTTTCTTTTTTAATCTGTTTTAAAGGGCAGTTATTTCCTTCTGCCTCATTTATTTATTTTTATTTTTGCTGTGTTGGGCCTTCGTTTCTGTGTGAGGGCTTTCTCCCGTTGCGGCGAGCCAGGGCCACTCTTCATCGCGGTGCGCGGGCCTCTCACTATCGCGGCCTCTCTTGTTGCGTAGCACAGGCTCCGGACGCTCAGGCTTAGTAGTTGTGGCTCACGGACCCAGTTGCTCCGCGGCATGCGGGATCCTCCCAGACCAGGACTCGAACCCGCGTCCCCTGCATTGGCAGGCAGATTCTCAACCACTGTGCCACCAGGGAAGCCCCCCAGAGAATCCTTTGAATGTTCATATGAGATACACATGAGAAATAACTTTGTAGTCTACATAGGTAATGAGTTCTTACTATTGATATTTTGTTATTTTTGTTGTTTATCTCTTTTCTTTTGACTGCAGTGGTGAAGGATATATTGCTAGTACTCTTAGTAGGAAATTGGAAAGCCAGGTGCTATACAGAGGTTAGAGGATTAATGATTATAAGATTAATGATACACTGATACCCCATCATTCAATAAATACTACTGTGTCCCTACCACTTCCTAGCCCCTAAAGATACAAGGGTGACTATGATAGTCTTTGCTTAAATTTACAAGAGTTTCCACAGTCACAAAAGAGCTGCCAGTCATTTTTCTAAAAATGTCTGATCATCTGACTCTTATGCTTCCAAACCTTTCTTCCAACTGACTTGCATTTATTCACCCCTCATTTACAAAGACCTTATTCTTGCTGGCCTGCTTGCTGTATCCTGGAGATACAAAGATCAAACACATCTACTTGCATCAGCCCTTTCACCTTGGCCTTGTTTCCTACATACAGGCTTTGCTTCAGGTGTTCCTAAAATGTCAATTACTTCCTTCTTTCTTTTTTCTTTTTCAAATTCTTTTCCCATTTAGGTTGCCACATAATATTCAGCAGAGGTCCCTGTGCTATGCAGTAGGTCCTTGCTGGCATTGAGTGATTCCTGCATATACCCTTCAAGTCTCGGATTAGACTGGGGGGGAGAGTCCCTACTTTTCCTATGAGGCAGAGCCGCCTGAGTGTGCCATACTCTGGCTTACTGCTCAGACATGCATCCTTAGGCTGAGAGTTCGCTCAGAGAGGGGATCTGTGTTTATTCCTTCCAGTGTGTCCAGGACCAGCTAAATGTCTTGGCACAAAGGCTGCCCTCGACAACTCACAGGAGGAGACATCCAAATGCATCATTACTATAAAAGGGCTATCGTGGGCTTCCCTGGTGGCGCAGTGGTTGAGAGTCCGCCTGCCGATGCAGGGGACACGGGTTCGTGCCCCGGTCCGGGAGGATCCCACGTGCTGTAGAGCGGCTGGGTCCATGAGCCATGGCCGCTGAGCCTGCGCATCCGGAGCCTGTGCTCCGCAACGGGAGAGGCCACAACAGTGAGAGGCTCGCGTACCGCAAAAAAAAAAAAATAACTTCTCTCCGTGAGAGCCACCCCTTGAGTTGGATTTGAAAACTGAGCAACAGCCTTCCCAGTGGGGAAAGGTGGTGGGAGACACGTTGATTGAGAAAGAACGTGGTTATGTAGGGAATGACAGGTGGGTAGAGGGGCAGAAGCAGGAAGTGAGTCGGGGAAGGAATGCCAAGATCAGGCTGTGAAGAATTTTAGCCTTTACCCTCAAGACAAAGGAGTGTCAATGAGAGACTCTAAGTAGGAGAGAGAAATGTTCATAACTGAATTTTAGTTCTCGCTCAACTTTGAGTCCACTAGGAGTTAAATAATTGTTCCGGAATCCCAGTCCTTCTTTGTCAAATTTAGATACATCTGTTTAGTTATTTACTTAATGTTTTCAATTTAACATTTTTTCTTTTATTCGAGTGAAATTATTTAAAGAAGAAACTTTATGTAAGCCCAATACACAGAAAATCTATATCGATTTCCAGAAATATAAATATACGTGTTTTTAAAAAATTCATTTAGGTATCGACCACTTAGACCACTATGAGTTTTCTAGAATCTAGGGGCCTGAATCACACTTTGGGCTTTACCAGGTTAAACAGCTCTTGCTGGGCTGTCTTCATCTCCACATGTAATTGTCTTTGCAAATGCTTCTCGTTTCAAGTAAGGATCTTACAGATATAGTTTTGAGCAGAATCTTTTACAGCTTGGGGGTATTATGTTCTGCAATGTCTTTATATCAGACTGACCTTCCCCCTTCCTTGGTTCAAATTTGTGAAGTTTTGCTATAGGTGAGCTTAATATTAATAGTAATTCTCTGGTTAAATTATTTAATTTTCTTGTCTCTTGGATTAGAATGGAAAACTACTCTCTGAAAAAAGGAGGAACCCAATTGAAGTGGATGACGTTTATGACTATCACCAGGGCACATACGTGTGTGATTACATTCAGTCAGATAATTCAAGTTTATGGACAGTCAGAGCTGTTGTTCGAGTAAAAACCATTGGTAAGTGAGGCTTTTGGTTTCAGTATTTGAGACGTCAACCCCAGTTACCCAGTGAAAGTTATCTTCTTTGGCTTAGTGATATTTTTCTGTGGTGAGGAAGGAGACACTCATAGCCTACAGTCATGTAAAGCCTGGAACGTTGGTGAACATCACTTTTCCATTAACCTAGATTCCATCCTCCAAGGAAGGCCTAGTTCTGGGTCATATTCAAGTTGTCACAGGTTGGGTTTTCTACACATTGATTCTGGTTTGTTTTGTGATAAATTAAAAAACAATATCAAAGGTTCATGTAAAGAAATAAACAAGATTAAAGATTTTACACATAAGAGATAATAAATTAAAAAACAATGCTAAATATTTCACACCCAGAAATAAGTAACACTCGTGTACCTATCACGAGCTTTAATAATGGTTTTTCCATCTCACGGTTTCTTTGTCGAAACAAAACAATACAGATACAACTTGAGGCCTTCCCACTTCCTCTCTTTGCAGATGTAGCCCACTCTTAGGTTATAATCCTTTCCATTTATGTTTTATGCTTTTTCTACATATGTATGTATCCATTAATAAAACAGAATATTGTTTTATGTTATAAAGTGTGTTTTGTGTTATAAACACATGGTATTGTTCATAGACATTGTTTTGCTAATTTATACCCGCATGAGCAATGAACAGATTCCCGTTATTCCCAAGTAATATTTGGTGGTTTCAGACTTTGGTGTCAAGTGGACTCTCTTATTTTCATACCAATTTACGTTTCCCTGACTACGAATGAAGTTGAATATCTTGCCATTTGTTTACTGGCCCATCGAGCTTATTCTTCTGTGACTTGTCTGTTTTTGGCCCAGGCTTTCCCTTGGGTCATTCTTATTAGATTTACAAGTGTAAAGCATGGATAAACTGTATGATGTAATCAATTTAAGCATGGCCTGTATCAAAACATAACCGTACAGAATGGTTGACTTCGCTCTTAGTAAATATAGTAATCAGTTTTACTTCCTCTTCTTTCATTGCAAGATACAAACCACATGGAGCATGCTGAGACCAAGTCAAACTCCCCTGCTTACTTCCGGGCCCTTGCACTCTGCAATACTTTAGACCTCATCGATTTAAATTTATATGAGATTGTTGCTTGGATGAGGGGTTAGAAGGCAAATACCCAACTTGGACCACTTGCCCCTCCAGGCGTGGTTGCTCTTTCCCTCGGGCATGATAACTCACCCATCAAACTTTCAGTGGCAGAATCTGCTTTTCTCTCTCCCAGAGGATGCTTTGCAACCTCTGTCACATCTTTTTAAGTCTTCTCTGTCATCATTCCTGTCTTCCTCATTTACTCATTCGTTCTTTCATTTATTCATTCTTACACCAGTATTTGTGGAACATGTGATATGTGTCAGGCACTGGGCTTGGTGCTAAGGTTGTAAGAATGAGCGCCTGGACACTTTCTCTGGCCTCCCAGAACTTACCGTCTCGTGGGGCAGACAGAGAGGAAACAGGCTACTACAGTTCGGTGTGATGAGTGGAGAGAAAGGGAAGCAGCGGGGCATGTGGGGGACACACAAACCCAGACCTGGGTACCCCGAGGCTGGGTGAGCACTGAGGGGTGAGGACAAACTAGCCCAGTGAAGGTGGAAAAGATGCCGTTCCAGGCAGAGGGAGCAGCATAGTTAACATCCAGGAGATGAGAGACAGCATGGTGCTTTCCAGGGAGAAAGAGAAGGTCAGTTGAGGGTATCTGGAAGCAGAACAGACATCACACTGTTCAAGTCAGTTTGGACTTTATCCGAGGAAAAATGGGGAGCCATTGAGGGTTCTATGTGGGAGAGTGTCATGAATAGATCTGGATTTGAGATAGATCACGCTTATTATGTAGAACATGGGTTTGGGGGTGGGGCGACAAGGGAGACAGAGAGAAGAATTAGGGCTGCTGTGGGTCAAGCAGTCAACTGCTGATGGTGGCCTGAACTAGGAGGGGCAGTAGGGATGGAGAGAAGAGAGCAAACTCCAGAAATACTTAGGAAGTTACACGTGAAACGCTTTGGGAATTGGGAGGGAAAAGAGGGAAAAGGAGGGGTACAGAATGAGAGCCAGGTTTTACGCTGGGCAACGAGGTGGACTTTCTATAACATATTGAGAGAAGATGGGATGGGATGGGATGGGATGGGATGGGGTTGGATGGGATGGGATGGAAGTGGAAGGGGTAGGATGGGATACATAAGGGCTGGTGTAAGGCACAGGTGGGGGGAGCAGCAGATCTGAATCATGTTCTAAAAAGATGTCTCTGGTCACTCTTTGAGTAGACTTAGCAGAGGTGATTAGAAATGGCTTTATGTGTGTGTCAACAGAACATGTTGATGGAGTTTATGTGCAAGAGGAAAGAAGGGAATCAATGATGGATTACTTTTCTGGCATGATGAGTTGGTAAACAGTGGTACCATGTAATGAGACAGAAAAAATACTGAAAGAGAAGCAGGTCTGAGGAAGAAATTCAGTGTTAAGCTTGAAAGGACTTTGAGTCATCAAGTCACCATGACAAGTGGGTATTTGGATAAACCAGTCTGGGATACAGGCTACTACATCGGGAGATGTGAATGTGAGGGTGGCCGCCGACACGATATCTAAAGCCGAGGGAGAATGGGGTTATGTGGGGATGGAGTATAGGGAGGAGAGAGCCTAGAACATCCAGCACTGGGAGGCACGGGGGCGGAGAAGCATCTCCACAGGAGATGGAGAAGCGGTGTAAGAACAGAGAGTAGCAGCTATCCCAGGGCTCAGTGATAAAGTGTCCCAAGAAAGAGGGAGTGATGCACGGCCTCATATGGTGAAGCCTGTAAACTGCTCCTTGGATTTGGGAAGAGGGAGGTCATTATTTGCATCAGCAAGTGGGTATCAGTGGCAAGGTGGGGAGGGAGCAGTAAAGGAAGTGAAATTGATGACGTAGGCGAGAGAGCATTTTGAGGGCCAAGAACTTTCATAGGGAAGAGAGGCCTGGAGCGAGAGCTGCCCCACAAGGAGAGTAGGTGGAATGAAGACCACAAGGAGAGACCGGGGAGACGTGATACTCACAAGAGGCGCAGAGGAGGAGAAGCCCATAACGCTCAGGGGAGTGAGTAGAGACGAGGGAGGCGAGCCTCAGAGCACAGAAACGTGCACCCCGAAGAGGAGAGAAAAGCATGCCCAGCAGCATCCAATGCTACTGAGAGGGAAAGCAGATTAAAAACTCAGCCGTGGGCTTCCCTGGTGGCGCAGTGGTTGGGATTCCGCCTGCCGATGCAGGGGACTCGGGTTCGTGCCCCGGTCCGGTAAGATCCCACGTGCCGCGGAGCGGCTGGGCCCGTGAGCCATGGCCGCTGAGCCTGCGCATCCGGAGCCTGTGCTCTGCAACGGGAGGGGTGAGAGGCCCGCGTACAAAAAAAAAAAAACAACAACAAAAAAAAACCACTCAGCCGTGCCCAGTGGATTTAGGTGCAAGGAGGGTCACTGGTGACTTTGGCCAAAGCGGTTTCAGTGGAGTGATGGGGGTAGAAATCAGACTTCACGGGAGGGGAAGGGAGGGAGGAAACGAGCACACAGCGCTCTTTCAACAACTTGGCTGGGAAGGGAGGAGAATGAGTGGGGCAGGGGTATAAGGTGAAGGGTTTTTTCCTCTTTTTTTTAAGATGGAGAGACTGAGGGTGGATAAATGCTGATGGGAAGGAGAGAGAGAGAGTCAAAGATACAGGAGGAAGATAATGTAATTGAGGGAAGGAGGTCCCTGAGAATTAAGAGAGGACAATTCCAGAAGAGAGGTGATGAAGTTTCCTTTCTTAGGAGATGGGACATCTTCAGGAAGGAGTTTGACAGTGGAGGCATAGGTGAAAGTTTGTGGCAGGAAGTTGAGGGATAAAATGATTCACGAAGGGCTGAGCTCACCTTTATTTTCAAACAAACCATGAACTTGAGGATGGAGGGAGGGGTGGGCTCCAATCTGGCTAACCTGTGCATTCTCTCAGGTGCGTCCTCTTTCCTGTGGGATTACTCAGCCGGATGCACCAGAAAACAATCTTGGAGGAGAAGATGGGGTGGGGTTTCACGTCTGCAATGGGCCCGCGGGGCTGGCCTGGAAGGAGGTTCCCCCGGGGCGGGTACGGATTTATCAAGGACTCACGTTTCGCTAGCACCTGCAACCTGATGTCACAGTCATTTCTGGAGGTGTGATTTTCACATGGAGACATGAGTCTCTTGTACATTATGGATGAAATTTGTAAAGGAAGTTCCAAAACATTTAGATCAAAGTGTGACTGTGCGTTCAAATCCTCAGGAAGCAGGCCTTCAGATTTCCCAGTGCAAATAATAATTTTTATTTTCATCTTTTAGTGAAAAACACTAATCTCAAACCAGATATTCTGGATCCCATCAAGGACACCCTGGAAGTAGAACTTGGTAAGGTGGGTGGTGTCATCGCCCCTGAATGATACTTTGCTTCTGGGAGCAGGTCTAAGTGTGTTACAATGAAGAGCCTCGGGATTTCAAATTAAACAGAATTGGGGGTGAATCTAGACTCGGCCACTGACTAGGTTTGTGATCTTATACAGCTATTTAATCTTTTGAAGTCTCAGGTTATAAATCTGTAACTAGACAAAATAAAACTGACCTCACAAGGTTGCCTTGAGAAATATGGGATGATGTATTGATAATATTAGGTGACTTGTATGTTAGGCATGATCAATAGATTTTTTTTTTTTTTTAAGATTCTTCCCTACTCCACCCGGGAACAGTGGGTTACACAGATTGGTTAGGTTCATTGATTACATCTATAAATTTAATCAGTTAACCAACTTAGGTAGCATTAACCTTTACGAATACAGCGTTTGGTCTAGCCTTTAAGATAAATTGTAGGAGAATACTACAATCCTTGCTCAAATAAGTTGTATTCCAAATTAGCGTCTTCTTTGGGGTAGAGGGGGAAAGTGACTTCCTGTGGTCCCCTTCGATTTTGTCAGCTTCAATAACATCTACATCTTCCCACATAGCCAAATAAGAACTGTTCTCTTCAAAACCAAGTGCTGGTTGTTTCAATAAAATACGTGTTCTTTTAAGTGCTAATAAGATATTTATCGTTGTAGAAAGAAAGGTAGAAGTAGATATTGTGGTAAAAGACCACTGGGTGGCGGTTTCCTTCAAATGCTAATAAGATGTTTATCATTATAGAAAGAAATGTAAAAAGAGATATTATTAAATCACCACTAGGTGGCGGTAGCGGTGTATCCTGATTATGAAATAGAAATAACAGTACGGGCAAAATCACAAGAATGAAAGGAAGGAGGAAAGAAGCAGGGAAAACATTAATTAATTCAAAAATAGCCAAGTTACACAAGGTACCAATGAATTTTAAAGTATTACTGTGGGGAAAGCATTATAAAGGTGCAAAGGTGAGTTTTCAAATGGAGTTCCTAAACATTTCACGTTTAAAATATTGAGTTTGAGGCAGAGCATATCTGGATACCCCTTACAGAGAAAATGGGCAGAAAGAGGGTAGCGTAGGTACATGCATGTCCTTCCACAGTGTAATGTTCAAAATACTCAGCTGAATATCTAAATACTTTCTTCTTTAAACTACATGCCGCCCAAACCTCAGGATTTTCATTTAATATGCAAATACTAGTTAGTATTTCTTTACTGGCACCCTTGTACTACTTCAACAGCAGCGTCAGAAGACAGAGCTGGTCCCTGAAGCTGCTCATTTTCCTGGTGTTTATCCTTAAACCACATCAGAACCCGTAGTGCTGTGACCATGCCTATCTTCATTTGCAGAAATGTAGTTAACAGGTTTGAGGTCTAAGAGCTGCCCAGTACAGACAAACATCCCTGGTTTTACCTGTTTCCGAATGAGAGACAGGTGGACGTTTGGCTTTGTCTGGTACACCTGTTTTACCTGCGAACCTGACTGCCTCAGGGAACAGTTTCCAGATGGTGTCTTCCTCCTGCACAGGACAAAGTGTTCTCACGGGCTTCCTTCCTGTGTTCTGTGGCCCCTTTTTTCAGGAAAGCCTTTAACTCTTAACTGCACGGCCCGATTTGGCTTCGAAATAAACTTTAAGCCTGTGATAAGATGGTACGTCAAAGATTCTGACCAGGAGTGGGAAGTCCCAACACCCGAGGGGAGAAGGTAAGAAGGAAATTAGCGAACTTATTCTTTGCAACTCACACTAAAAGCTTTCACCTTTAGAACACCCTGAAATGTACACACAGAGCTGAACAAACAGATGGAGTTGGTGTGGCCACTAGCGCCAACTAGTCGTGCAAATAAAAGTATAGAAATGCAAAGCGTGAGTTAATTTTAAACTTGGGGGCCAAATGCAGTTTCACAGAGGGCCATAGAATGAAATATTTCTGTTGTGGTTTTTTTTTATTGCTATTTTTTATTTCATTTTTTATTTTTGGCCACACAGCTTGTGGGATCTTACTTCCCCGAACAGGGATTGAACCCAGGTCCTAGGTAGTGAAAGTACTGAGTCTTAACCACTGGACCACTGGGAAATTCCCCCCACCTTTTTCTGAAATAATCTTTTTATTTTATTTTTTACATTTTTTATCAGTTGTTTTAAAGTTCAATTTGTAGTAACAATTTGATGTGGCTGCTTTGCCCACCAAAGTAACAAGCAGACATAACAACCCATGCTGCTTGAATAGACTTGGCACATGGAACAAACGGGAAAGGATTCTGCACCCTAGCCAGCCATTCTCCATTCCCCCCTGTGCCGTCCATCCAGAGTGGGCCGAGTCAGGGCCCCAGTGTTGGGGTCCTTAACAGTCCGGAGCGTATGCAGAGAAAGTGGCACAATGATAAGCGATCTGACCGAAAATATGAGAAATGAGGAATAGTTGATGCAATCCAACCTGGAAAAGGAGACCCAGAGGTGAGATAGCTGTCTTTTTTTTTTAGGTATATTTACAGCAGCTTTATTTACAATAGTCAAAAATTAAAACACAGTTACATTCATTCATACAATGGATTATTATTCAGCAATAAAAAGAACAAATTAACTAGAGAAGGAAAAACTAATCTAAGGTGAAAAAAATCAGAACTGTTATTCATTCTGGTAGGCTAGGCATTGGCTGGAAAGGGATACAAGAGAACTTTCTGGGAAGTTGGAAATGTTCTATACCCTAATAACCATTTGTCAAAAGTATACAGCTAGGGACTTCCCTGGTGGCCCAGTGGTTAAGACTCCACCTTCCGCTGCAGGGGCACATGTTCTATCCCTGGTCGGGGAACTAAGATCCCTCATGCCATGCGTGAGGGGGAAAAAAAAGTATACACCTAGACATTGTGCACTTCAAGGTAGGTAAATATTACCAAAAAGAACCATATAATGACAATGGAGTAGGTGTAGGGAATTAGTGAAGGCTTAAATGATACAAAAATGGCAGGATATTGATAACTGAGGTATCATTTTATTGTTGTCTGCATATGTTAAACTATAACTTTTAAAGAAATTAAAGAAAGAAGAGATAGTCTTATATCTACCCAGACATTTGCCAATTACAGCCACCCTCGTTCTTTCCCGTAGATCTGATTACTGTTGTAATGTGGGATCTCTGTCTTGAAGTACTTGGAAGCTATTAAGTTTTATGAGAAACTAGACTTAGTTTGCAACCCAGATTGGTGGGAAGAATTTACTGGGAAGACAGTTTGGCTCAATGGAAAGTAAAACTCTAGACATTTGGAGCTAGAGTCCCTCACTTTCCCAACATCTGTTCCAAAGTAATCGCCTCTGTATTAAGCGCTTATCACAGCCTCTGGCAGGCAGGAAGCGTCCAGTGAATAAGAGTGGGTATTGTAGGCTCCACACAAGACAGCCTAAAACATCATCCACAGAGACTATATTCTTTAATGCGAAGACAGACTGCAGACGGGCAACTTTGGAGAATCCAAACTGCGAATCAGTGCCGAGATTCACACTTCCTGGACAGGGCGGAATGACACAGGCCCAGGAATCACGCTGCCACTTCCCAGCCGTGTGACCTTGGATTGTCACCCACCTTCTTGCCTGTTCTGAGCTGCTCAAGTCAGGATGATCACACCATTACCCGGTGCGGCTCCTGTGAGGATGGAGGAGATTTGATCCTCTCCTCCACATTCAGCGCTCGGGGGACCAGAGGACCGTCTGATACACACAGCCCTCAGTAGAAGCTAGTTATTTCTAACATTCTTCTTAAATTGTTGTATCTATTCTCAAGGGGAATTCTTAGAGTAAGGAAGATCAGATGAGCCTCGCAAGTAATTATAGTCTAGCGTAAATGCTTAGAATGGTGCTTAGCTGATTCAATCATTTAATAAAAAACGAGCCACCTCTGAGCATCCTCTGTCTTTCTGGCATCTCCTTGTACTATCTGACCCCACAGCTCTTCTGAAAGCCAAACGGTTATCTACTTACACGTGTTCCAAAAACTGCAAATGGGTGTCAATCTGTGTTACTAAAGGGGTGTGGTATTTTCCCTCCTTTCCTAGTGTTAAATCCACCTTAAAGAATGAAGTCATCGAGCGTGTTGTCTTCCTGAAAGAAGTTACTCAGAGCGATCTTCGCAGGAAGTTCATTTGCTTTGCCCAGAACTCCATTGGGAACACTACCCAGTCCATCCAACTGAAAGAAAAGAAAGGAGGTGAGCCTGAAGGTGGCTGCAGAATGCATGCACCTGCTTTCACCTGGGAGGAGAGGAACCTTCCCAAGGAAGTAGCCACAGTGATGGTAGCCACTAACATGCTCTAGGTGCCAGACAACATTCTAAGTCAGCAGTGTGCTTGTGCTGATTCATTCAGTACCTTGACCGAGGCCACACAACTAGTAAGTTTCACATTGGTGATCCAGAGCTGGTCCTCTTACGAATGTTCTGCATACGGGAGCTGTGTTCGTTCATTCATTCATTCACTCCTTAGTTCATTCACTGACTCATTCATTCATCCTGCAAAGACCTACAGAGCATGCCCTATGTGGCAGGTATCGTACTAGGACCTAGCTCCCTTTCCTATGTTCCTCCCCTGGCTTCCAAATCCAGAGAATGTGATGGTCTGGTGTCGGAGAGTAAAGGAGAAAAAGAGGGGAGAAAGAGTATTCTTGTTCAGTTTAGGAGTGATATGTGTACATCACAGATCATAGCCTCTTAAAGCTAGAGAGGAAATTCCTGGTAAGGAATAGCTCTTAAATTTCTTTAAGAAGATGCTCAGAGATGAAGGTGATATCATTCGTTCACTCAGTTAGTAGAGATGAGAGAACAAGCAGGTTCTGAATGCTTGTGAGGCTTAAATAAGACACATTTGGTGGGTGCTCCATAGAGGTGGGTCAAAGGTGCCACGTGTTAGGTACGGTGGAGGTGAGAAAGCCAGTCAGATGTGGCTCTGGGCTTCAGGGAGTTTAGACTTTAGTAGGGTCGATAACACGTGACAATAGTTTACAGTATGCAATAAGAGAGACAGAAATGGGTTGTGTGGAAGTTTATAGGAGAAAACAATTTAAAAAACGAGTTTTTGTCAGTTTTCCAGCCACCCCAATCAGAAACGACCCATTACCCTGGGTTTTCTTGAGTTCATTTTATGGTAATTCCCTCAAGATGTGATTTAAGATGTGTCCAGATTCAAGAGAAATGTTTCCAGTAGATTTTTATAAAAAATAATAGGGCTGGAAAAGGTGCTGGGCTGGCCTGAATGTGGCCTTATAGGGGAGGCGGGTGTTGGAGGGGACGCGGCCCCTGTACCTGCTCACGGCCGCCGCGTCTCCGCAGTGGTGTTCCTCTACATCCTCCTTGGCACCGTCATGGCCCTGGCAGGTGTGCTGACCGCAGGTGCGCTCTTCTACATGTACTGGATTGAAATAGTGCTGCTGTACCGAACCTACCAAAACAAGGATGAGACCCTCGGGGGTAAGATGACCCAACTCGCCTCGGAACTGACTTAGAGGGAGGGGCTTGAGAAATGGATGTTCCACGATGGAGAAAGTCATGACCCTCAGGCTCTAAGACCCTCCTGCAGGTCTGGCGGCTTCACACCTGGGAAGGGCTGGGAGCCCAGGGGAGAAACAAATTCTCTTCATCCCAGTTACTAGGAATCTTGCCAACGATGTTATTGTAGGGCACATTGGACTTGAAAATAACTCTCCACTCACCAACCTGAAGCAAGATGGCGGATGACTTACCATCTCCATGCCTTACTTTTCTCTTCTGTAAAGTAGGGTTGTAATCACAATCACAATGAATGCAATGTGGGCTCTTTGAGTTAAGACATATTGAGCATTTAGAACAGCATGTAGCACATGGTAAGCACTCAGTGATACCGGCTCCAGCTCTCATTACCTCTTGAGGACTGAGTGCACGCCAGGGTTATGTATCAGCTACTGGAATCGTCACTGAAATCCTACACGCCAGGCAGAGGCGTGAAGTCTGTGCCCCCAGTGGAACTGCTAGGGGATGTTAGAGGTTGGGATGGAACCCAGGCAGTTAGGTTTAGAGCCCCCATTAGCTATTGCCTCAGTTAACTTCTTCTGTAAAGTAAGGGGCTTGGGGATGTGGAAACATCCCTAAAAGAGTGAGGTTCTGGAAAGTACTAGCAGTGGCACTCTCCATGAAGTATCTGTCAGTTTTCCCATGAGACAGGTTAATAGTGTTTATTAACATTTGCTTCTTTAGACTGGAAGAGCTGCTGGTGTGTTTTTCTAGTCCCAGAAGGCTCAAAGGTTAGAACGTTGGCAGTTTTAGTGAATGATTCTATTGCTTGGAAAGAGCAGAATCCCTTCTGCTGGATTCCAGGGACAATTAAATACTTACCTGATTGGGATGCCCCTTTACATACACACCAGTGGTTTCCCCACACTAGGAACTCAGTGAAGAGCTGTCAGATCACTGGGAAAAGGGGCAGCACAGAAATGCATCAATCACACTTGTCTTTAGACCAATGATTGAGAACACACACTAGAAGTCCTTCAGCCAAGAGTATTTTGAGGTTATATTTTAAATAGCTTTTAAGAATTGAACAAATTATCTAATCACTGTCTTAATTGTTCTCCTAGACAACTTCATTACTTCTTTTACTCAAATGCTATTTTTCTTAAGATTCTAGAGCTTGTACAGAAGACTCAATCTACTGTGAAACATCTTATTTTTTGGAGGGATGTTTTTTACCCTAATTTATTTTTTAATTGAAGTATAGTTGATTTACAATGTTGTGTTAGTTTCAGGTGTACAGCAAAGTGATTCAGTTTTATATATATAACTGGATTCTTTTCCGTTATAAGTTATTACAGAATAGTAAGTAGAGGTCCCTGTGCTATACAGTAGGCCCTTGTTGGTTGTCTGTTTTATATATAGCAGTGTGTATATGTTAATCCCAAACTGTGAAGTACTTTAAATGTGTCCTCTCTTGTTTGCACAGACAACGTTTTAGTAATCTGACAGGGAGGCAGAACCCAGTTTTCAAGCACAGAGATTCATTACACTCTGTGGCCAGTCTAATGTTTTTCAGCAAAAAGACTGTTTCCTGTGACTCTCCCAAAATTTAGAGAGACCTAGGATGTCAGAATTGTGGGGATCGTCTAATTCTCCCACTCTCCAATATTATTACAAAAGAAATTTAACGTTTTCCGGTTATAGAAAAATCCCAGTTTGCTGGAGTGTCACAGGGATGTGGAAGAAATCAGGGTGACTACGGTGTGTCACACAGGAACTGCACAGCATGTACCTGCTGGCCACGCCCCCTGAGCCACCGCCTCCCCACCTGGGCAATGAGAAGTATCTTAGATGCACCTCCAGGACCTCGCCCTTTGGCATCCTCCTCTCTTGACGCCAGACCACCTCTGTTTCCCTCTTGCTTTTCTGTTTCTGACACTTCTGTTGGCTAAAGCCTCTTAGGTCCGTGTCGAGCAAACTGCCAAGCTGCATCACTGCTCTTTGCTACTTTGTAATAATACTATTTGCCTGGCATTGTGCAAAGTGCTGGAAGATGAGCCAGCTGTGTGCCACTCCAGAGCTCGTGGGTTAACTTTTGAGATTTTCTTTGGCTTCCAGTTGGTTCTTTAGCACATCCCAGAGCCTATGTGCATTTATAATAGTTGAGTCAACAGAGGCACATGAGACCTTAAAAATACCCTAAAACAAGTTCCAAAATATAGTTTTCCATCTAAAAGGGAAAGGAATGCATATTATCTTGTGCCTGCCATAAGTCAGTCACCAAATCCTTCATATACATTATCCCAGGCAACCCTGACAGAAGCAAGACGGGGAGTTATCATTATCTCATTTTACATATGGGGATTCAAACACAGATACGTGTGCTGTCAGCTCGCTCATGCACTGGGTCTCTGCAGTGCTTTGCTCACTGGGTATTATCACGCTTTGATGGAGCAGACTCCACTTTGATGTGTGACTAATGAGACAGCAACGCTGCAGATGCAAAAAAAGCTCAGAGGAACTCCTGAGAACATGTGATTTAATCAGAGAAGGCCCCAGCTGTTTGATCTGACGTCAGTGAAGGTGCAGGAGTGCCTCATCGATTAGAATCTGATTCTGGGTGGATAATCAATACCCCTCAGCAGTGTGATTCTGAAATGAACACAGATGCTGCGTTTTATTTAATAAATCAGTGCAGTAAGGATCCCAAATCTTAATTCTTATCCATTTACCATATGGTTCGAGTGTATGTAGGTATGCCACGAGAGTAAAAAATATGTCAATGGCTTGCATTCTTTTTTTTTTTTTGCGGCACGCGGGCCTCTCACTGTTGTGGCCTCTCCCGTTGCGGAGCACAGGCTCCGGACGCACAGGCTCAGCGGCCATGGCTCACGGGCCCAGCCGCTCCGCGGCATGTGGGATCCTCCCGGAGCAGGGCACGAACCCGCGTCCCCTGCATCGGCAGGTGGACTCTCAACCACTGCGCCACCAGGGAAGCCTCGTGTGGCTTGCATTCTTTATTGTGCTTCTTCCTCAGATGAAAAGGAGTTCGATGCTTTCATATCCTGTGGGAAATGGAGCTCTCTTGAGAGTGGGGCCACTTCATCCCTGAGTGAGGAAAACTTGGCTCTGAGTCTATTCCCTGAAGTTTTGGAAAACAAATATGGATACACCTTGTGTTTGCTTGAAAGAGACGTGGCCCCAGGAGGAGGTAAGTCCTGCACGCCAACAGAAAACATAGCACAAGAAGGAGAGTTACGTGCAAGCACTCTCTATGTTGTCTTGTCATTCTTTCTGCTGGGCTATTTATCTTCTGGAAGGTTTCATGAGCTTAGAACTTCTGGGGCAACAACACAGAAAAATGTGTGTTGCAGAGACATGCTCCATCATCAAAAAAAATCCATCTTCAATGGATATACATATATGTCTAACTGAACCACTTTGCTATACACCTGAAACTAACACAACACTGTAAATCAACTATACCCCAATATAAAATTAAAATTTAAAAATCAAAAAAATTGCCACAGGAGGAAAATAATCCATCTTCAGGAAAAAACATTATTGGAGCGCAGGGAGCCTTCCAGAATGAAGACCTCTTTTCTGGCTCCTCAACAGAAAGTTATCTCTTGTCCTCCCAAACGGGTGGCCCCCCTGCTTTCTGGGACTGTGCCTGACACAAACTCAGGACTGGGTCCAGCAGACTCCCCAGGCCCGGGCCCAGTCCTGGGCACGATCAGATGTGCAGACCTCATCCTGTCCCGCTGATCTCCTCTGCCTGAGATGCGCCACCCAGGAGCCTGGGACATTCCATGCCCCTCTCTTATCCCAGCCAGCCTTGTTCCAACGAGCTTTGCTCCTAGAGGAATTGGCAATTTGAGGAGACAGAACACAGGGAGGAATGTGAAACTGACAGTCACTAGACACTGGAACATATCTTCAACTGTCCACAGAGTTGATTTAGGAGAAGTGATAAAGAAAACCAGGCTTCCTTTCCTCTTTGCCTCAGAGTGCCCATTGCGAGGAACCCGCTGGGTGGATCTGGGAGATTCAGGGTTATTGTGACTCAGGGTTTAACAATAACAATGTCATGTATACACTGATGTGTATAAAATTGATGACTAATAAGAACGTGCTGTATAAAAAAACAACCAAAAAACAACTAATACTAAACTTTCTTTGGGTTATTTGTATGGAAATATGCTAATATAAATGTTTCAGACATTACATGAAATTTCTAAAAATCTTATATGTTCTGGTATAATGTAATAAGTCATAATTCTAGTTATTACTTTAAAATGTATAACTCAGAAATAACTAAATTTGTCAATTGCATTATTATGAACTTTTATCAAATCTTTAACCGTGGTCATTAAAAAAAAAAACAATAACAGTGTCGAATAATTAAAGCTTTTATTTCCAGTGTATGCAGAAGACATTGTGAGCATTATTAAGAAAAGTAGAAGAGGGATATTTATCTTGAGCCCCAGCTATGTCAGCGGACCCAGTGTCTTTGAACTACAAGCAGCAGTGAACATTGCCTTGGAGGATCAAACACTGAAACTGATTTTAATTAAGTTCTCTTCCTTCCAAGAGCCGGAGTCTCTACCTCCTCTAGTGAAAAAAGCTCTCAGGGTTTTGCCCACTGTCACTTGGAGAGGCTTCAAATCAGTTCCTCCCAATTCCAGATTCTGGACCCAAATACGCTACCACATGCCTGTGAAAAGCTCTAAAGGATTCACGTGGAATCATCTCAGAGTTATCCCAAGGATTTTTTCTCTAGAAAAGACTCAGTAAAACAGAAACCGCTGGGAGGCGCTCCCAGCCTAAAGGACGGTGAAATGGGCCCTGAGCTGCCTCCTCCTACACCCCTCCCGTCCTGTCCCTGGTGAGTAGAGCGAGACCCTGATGGACAGAGCACACGGCGTGGATCAGGCTGATATAGAATGGGAAGCGTTCTGCCAGCCCTGAGCGAGTGTGGCAGGCACTGGAATGACACGAAAACCATTGTGGGAGCCTCAGATTTCCTGGGCTAGACAGAGGGAGAGCGAATTCAGCCCACACGGCCCCTAAGATTTTCCTAGTGGCCTCAGCGGAATCAGCAGATACAGCCGCTTGGCTTTGTGGCTATGGACTTGTCATGTCTTCTGTGTATTGTTCACATCATTTTATCGATCTTCGCGGTCAAATAAATATTATTTTATTAGACACAAGTGATTTAAACTTTGCCTAAACCGTCTCTGTGAAGAAGACAATTCTTATTCCGTGTTCGCCCATTCACTGGAGCACAGAAAGCAAGTCGGAGAGGCAGAGACCAGGGGCCAAGGAGCAGACAGGGCCATGGTTCCTCTCTACCGTGTCCTTGTGAGAGCTAGAAGGAAGAGCCCCTTCCTCGGGACCCGTGTAGCCCTGAGCCAGGACACAGGGCTTGGGGAGAAGAGTGGGGCTAAGTTCAGCTCATCCTCGTTGCCTTGGCCTTTGCGCAGGGCATGAAGTACACAACCTTACTCTGGGCCATAGGAAGTAGGAACCAATTAGGCCAAAATGATTTGGAGGAGACAAGGAACAGACCAGCAGTTATGTGCAAAGTAGAAAGGCAGAAGCCAGGGCAAGAGTCTGGAAAATAAATGTCTACACTGGTTAAAAGACAGCAAGACTGGGACTTGAACAGCGCTTAAGTCTGAGGCTTTGCCTCTCGAGGCTGGTGGTCCCCATGTGCTTCCTGACTATCTGGTCTCCTTGAGTTCCTCCTAAGTGATGGGCCTTAGGCCAGAGGACCAAGTAGCTGTTCCACGTAGACGAGGCTCCTTTCATTCTCACCAGTGTGTTTTCCTGACGAGAGTTCAATGTGCAGTTAACATGGCGTTCTAGTCTCACATGAAGGTACAACACTCATGCTTCATCTTCCCCGATAGAAGGGCGCGATTTATTTGAGCAATAAGGAAAAGCGATTTCTGGACGCATTCACATTTAATGTGTCCCATCCGCTTGTCCGAACGTGATCCAGGTTTGGAGGGGCTCAGAGTCATTGCCATCTGGCCACTGCTGGGTGCCTGTGTGAAAGGCTTTTGAGGTCTTTTTGCACAGGGACACCCACATCACAAAAACCACTGTGGTTTTGGCACCAAGCAAGATCCTTGTTGGGAATTTCAGTGATAAAGTTAAAGATGAGTTAAAGGGTATAAATTATTCCTGGAGGAATTTTCTTGTGGGAAAAGCTCATTGTAGGGTCTCAGAAGGGAAGGACCCACACTGTCATCGTGTCCTTGTGTTCTGGTGATGACTAGAAGCCCTGGTTTTCCTGCCAGCCACTCTCAGAGATCTAAGACTCAGAAACCCCTTTTGGCCAGTGTGTCCAGATATATTTTATTCTAAAATAAGGATGGCTGTAACTGATATATCCAGAGGTCCAGAGTGTTGTTCTTAGCTTAACCAAACTCAAAATGATCCCCAGATTTATGCATACACACAAAAAAGGAACTATCTGGGTCTATCTTTTACAGAATACACTCTTCCAGGTGAGTGGGTATGCTAAGAATGACAAATTAACATTTAGGACAAGGGTTTATTTACAGTTCTTACATGTAAATCAGTCAAAACAAAGTGGACAACCAAAACAAGTTTTCTATACACAGAAGACTGATGGTACTTAAACAATGGATCTCAGTAGAATACAATGAGAAGGGATAATGGATTCCCACCACACCTTCTAAACAAGGTGTCCGTATGTTCTGATTCCGGCTTTACACTTGTTGTCCAGGTATAATTTTCATAGACCAAGTATAATTTCTTACTCTGAAAATGTGTCCTACTTTGGACGGTGGTCATCTCACCTCTAGTGTACATTGTAGAATAGTCCTTACTGACCCTGGATGATGTCTCAGGCGATCTCACCAAGAGCTTTCCTGGTCTCTTTTGGGTTTTAGTACCCACATTTACTATCTATATCATTTCCAGATTGAAGCTCCAGGTAAGATGGAGTAAGCACACAGCCCCCTACCTTTCCCACTCATTGTAGCTATGAAACCTGAATAAAGTGCATATAAAAATCAGTTTGAGGATTTTGAAAAGTACGTCAAAGCAGGAAGATTGGAGAAGACAAGAATTCAAAGTTCCACGATTTTATTTTCCTCCAATATCTCTTGGTTTAGACTCAGCACAGTCCAAAACCCGGGAGTGGACCTTAGTGTTAACACTAGTTCCAGAAGAAGCCCTCTAGTTCTGCCTTGAAGACTGGGAAAGGTGTTTCCTAACACTCCCGTATAGTTTCCTTTCTATATTCTCTTACTTCCTAGCCCCTGTGCAATCCTGTGTTGGCATCAGTGGCACCAACAAAAGCAGAGAAAAGAGGGGTCCTCAAGAGCCTATATCTCTCTAGGAGGGAGAATTGTCCATTTTGATACAGGAGCTGTGGTCTCAAGGTGTGGCAAATCTCTATTGATTTTTTTTTTTTTTTTGTCTCTCTTACTACTTGGCTGGGGAGGTGGAAGCGGTGGGGGGAAGTGCACTGCAGGGTGGAGCACTTGACGCACCAGCACTCTTGCCAGAGAACTACGGAGAGGAAGACAAGAGACCTATAGAACCTGAAAGTACTCTGCAGAGTGCTGACAGAGAGGAGCTCAGGAAAGCAAACCCGTAAAGCTGCTTACAAACTCCAAGGCTCATCCCCAAGCTGCACATGCATGAGCCTGACCCTAAATAGAATAGCATAAACTCTGAGAATTAAACTATAGGATAGGCTGCTTCCTGAGTTCCAGGGACAAGTCTAAATAGAACTGAAGGACAGTGAGATAGAACTGACACTGAAACCACAAGGCTGGTTAGAATTCTGGGCTTGAATCCAACTAGGTCAGTTGCCTGCTTAAACAAAAATAGCATTGTAC